AATCTGTTAATTTATTAAAACAATTTTTATCTGAATCTGCACATATAGTTTTATTGCAAATACTACAAAGTTATATACATATAACTGAATTGGAAAAGCAAAAAACAGATGTTGAATTTGTAAATGATACATTGACCAGTAATCATTATAGAACAAAAGAAAAACATCAAAATACTATTAGCAATTTACAAAAAGCAATTTCAGTATTGAAAGATGATCAAATGCCTATATATGTAACACATCTACAAAATGTTAAAGATGATGTAATATGTGGATTATTAAAAAGAGAATTTGGTACTGCTCTCTTTTGTTATAATAATAAAATAGTTGTCAGATCTTTGATTACTTTGAAACAATTACCTGGAACAACCAATTTAGAAGATGTTGTACTTTTAGGTCATAACAAACAAATATATGAACTTTCATTTGTTAATCAATTAAAATTTGTTTTGTCAGCATCTGAAGATAAGACAATTCGTTTGTTTGATTTAAATGATTACACCCAAAAAAAAGTATATAGAGGTCATGAATATCCCGTCTATTGTGTGGACTCTTGTTCAAATGCAAATTATTTTATATCTGGCTCTTATGATCATACAGCTAGACTTTGGGTGATTGATCGAAAAGATTCATTAAGAGTGTTTGCTGGCCATACACAAGCAGTAACTTGTGTAGGTACACATCCAAATTGTGCATATTTTGCTACAGGATCTGCAGACAAGAATCTTCGTCTTTGGACGCTAGAAGACAATATGCCTGTAAGACTATTTTTAGGTTCCAAAGGAACAATTTATTCTACGATTTTCAACAATAATGGAGAATATTTGATTAGTGCTAGTGACGATAAAAAGGTCAGAGTGTGGGATCTTGTAGCTGGCAAAGAATTATTAGAATTAGACACTAACTGTGATCTTGTTTCACACCTTTTATTATCTAACGATGATAAGATATTGATAACTGGTACAAATGATGGTATAATAAAGTATTGGAATTTTGAAGAAATTATTAAAAATGAAAAGAGTGATAATGTTAGAGAACCAATAAGTCAATTTTCTGTGAATGCAAATCTTGTGAATGTTGAACACTGTTTTGATACATTTGGGTTTCTTACTTATCAAAGTGTAAGCTAATAGAGATATGTTGTTAAGAGACTAAAAATACTTTCTATGTATTGACCTTATAAGAAATGTACATTGTCTAAAAACTTTTTTTTTTTTAATTTGCATTAATAAGTATTTTATGTAATATTTAATATTTAGGCTTAAAAAGTAAACCAAGATGTATAGTGTAAAGCAATATAATGTATTTTGCCACCAAATTAGAGTACTCAATTAAACGATATTTAATATTTAATCTGTAATTATATTTCTGTTATTTATGTAATAATTTTATATGTACACTTAAGTTAGAATCTTATGCATCTAATACTGTAAGAGCTGTATAAACCCTGTAAACAGTGACAGCTTAAGTAGATAACAGAGAAAAAATGAGAAAGCAAAGAAAGAAGAAAAAAAACAGAAGAGAATATTTAGAGCTAATATACAATAATAGTAGAATCATAAATAAATTCGACTAATTGCAACTATTTTGCGACAATACTTTTTATCCAATGTTTTATTTTTGTTTTGACAATGTATAAATTTTTGTAGTTGATCGTTTTTAACTTTCTCGATAATCTATTGAATACTTGGATGACTGCATATTATCCATGGGTTTGTTTGTCACTATTCAATACGCAGGCAATAAAATCGAATGCCTAGTTTCGTTTGAGTTACCTTATTACGTCGCGGAAGCTACTTTCGAACGGGAAAGCCCCTACTCCTCTTTTCTATAGTTCCTTCAGCCGGCTAGGAGCGGCGCTAAACCTAGCGATTACCTCTCTCTTCAGTATGCTGTTAATTAGTGTAAATATTCGGATAATAGGAAATCGGAATAAAGTGATATTCCGAATAATCATCCAAATATGTATTATCAATATGACGAACTCTTATTTCAAATGGATACTTTCTACGCGCATGCATATTGTTACGAATTAGAGACATGGAAATTGGAAAGGGAAACGGAACGGTCCGGGTCGCCTCAGCAATTGAATTGATTATAAATATACATACAATGTAGAAATCTTCCCGAAGTGAGTTAGTTTTTAATATGAAATATTCTCAATTTTTACACACTTCCTCAAATTAATGAGTAAACTAAGCTTAGTGGTCAAAGCATTGGCGCGTAAAGCCAAAGAGCCCGGGTTCGATTCCCGGCGGGGGTGTGACAACAGCAACAAATTTTTCCTCATTAATTTGAGGAAATGTGTAGTGGATAAAAATTGAGAATATTTCATATGAATTGATTCTACTTTACTTACGTACTCGTAATATTATTAATATTTAGTAATATTTTAATACGTATTCTTACAACACTACTGTTAATTCTGAAAACGAACAGTGCTGTTAATAAGAGAAGTATTTTGTTCTTTATTTTACGTCTATTAAACACTGTTGTGGTGTTGGTTGATTGTGTTATAATTATTTTTTCCGTCTCAGTGACGGGTTCTCAACGGATAGGTAAGTTATTATTTTAGCTTATTATGTTGTAGGAAGCTACGCGTGGGCTGATTAGGAGGTTCTCGTGTTCGCCCGAGGTCGTTCGATGTTTTTTTCTTTTTTCTGCAATGATTTGGCTGATTGTTAGTGGTCAAGGTTCATTGAGCTGACTGATAAGCGGTTTCTTCGCAGGCCGTTAGCAGTGGTGGGCGTCCCGCCAGCTGCAACTGCAGATCATTAGCCGCAGACGTCGGCTCATAAGTAGCCGTAGCCCATAGCCGTTCGGCTCATCAACCGCAGTCGTTTGGGCTGGTTTGGCCTTGGTTGATCGCAGTCTGCACAACTTGATAAAAAGCAGTGTTCTTAAAGAACGTAGCCATGCTGTGATCATTGGATTCCCTTTTTGAACCAAAACTCTTTGAGGTTCGGAGAAACCTGGTTGTTTGTAGGATGCGTTTTTTATCATGTTTGGGTGTGGCTTCCCTTTGGAATTAGCTAGCATGAATCCTTGCTTTTTTTGGCAAATCATTTCACCTAAACTCCGTAATCCATAAATTGGCGGCTCAAACAATAAAACTCAAATGATTTATAAACATGCTTTATCTAATGACCAAGATCTGCACCAAACAAGAGGACGACCCGAATTTTATTTAGTGGCAATTTTAAGAAGATAATAGTCCTTACACTGTCTGTGTAGTTGAGGTTCGAACCTTCTGTTTAGGTTTAGGGGGGTTTCTATCGAGTGTTCTCTTCGCATTCGGGTAGAGCTGGGGCCAAGCAGTTTACTGCTCAGCAGGAGAGACGCTTTGGCTATAATAAACAACACTCTAAATCAAAGTCCTCTAAGTCCAGGAGCTCGTTTTAGCAGGCGCGGCTAGTTCCGTCTTCTTCTTCATCTAGGAATCGTTGACATAGTCAGGACGGTCATTTCAGGAAGAATGACAGATGCCTTTGGGGCGCGAGAGATTCTCCTGTTGACCAATGAATATGAGATTTCGTCATTTCCCTATTATCTCCCTGGTCTTTGCAACACAGTTGCAGATCGATTGTCAAGAGGCATGATTCTTTCCGATTGGCATCTGGGGACGGAGGTGATCTCGATAGTGTTTTCCAAGTGGGGAATCCCACAGATAGATTTATTCGCGTCGAATCAGTCGAAAATCCTCCCGAATTATGTAACAACAAATGGAAGGGACTCTCAGACAACGTTCATCAATGCTTTCAGCAGACTCTGAAAGTTCAAGTTGGCATAGATGTTCCTATCGCCTCCGCTCATTCACTGAGTTCTGCAGCATTTGAAGAAGTCATTGGGATCTTCATTCTAGCGGTTGGGAGAATGTGCTTTGGAGGACAGACTTCAAAAGCAGAGCCTTGGAGGTACCAATGCTTTTGAGGAATCTGTCGCAGTGCCTGGCCGATCTGTCCATGGGCCTATCCCCGCCCAAGGCAGAGGATCTTCGTTTGGAGGTCTAGAAGGTATAGGGTAGTCTTTCTTAACTTCAGGTTTGATCTTTTACAGTCCGCTTGGCGAAAGTCAACTTTGAAAACCTATCACTCGGCTTGGAAACGATGGGTGTCTTGCTGCAGGCATTCGGCTATATCGTACAATGGGATAAGCCAAGTGCTTCTGTAATCTGTTCCTATTTATCGTTTTTGTTGAAGGAAAAGAAATTGGCTTTCTCGACAATTCTAGTGCATAAATCAGTAGTCTCATTATTTATGATCATTTGAGGAATTAATTAAGCCTATGTTGAAGGCGATAAGCCTTAAGGATTCGGCCTCACATTCGATGAAGTGGCTTGTTTAGAATGTTTTAGATATGATGGATTGGTCACACGGCAGCTTTGTTAGTGTTAGCCTTCGGTCGAGGGGTTTCATGACTTAACACTAATCAGTATAAATGAGAAGAAGTGCCAGTTGTCAGACTCAGTCATTACGTTTGGCCTGTTTCAGATTTCAGCGTCTAGAAGAAGGGCACGACAGGACTTCTTCTCTTTTCATCACTACTAGGGGAAAAGTAAAAGCAGCCTCGTTGAGGTAACTGGCGTTGTTCGGGGAATTTCTTTAAGCATCATTGCAAGATTGTTCAGAAACCCAGTGCACACATTAGCGTTGGCTTAAGATCTTTCAAGGTCATATGATGACTGTAACTTTATTGGATCTACCTCTAAGTGTTTGTATTTCCCTTTTTTGACTCGAACAAGAGGGTTCTATTACTTACTTGACCCCTTTTTTGTACTAAATGGTGTTGTTAAAGTTATAATTGTACAAAATTGTATTTATTATTAGCTCTAGAGTAAAGTTTTTGTATGATTCAAGATTGTTTTATAACAAAATTTCCTTATGGACTATTTGCTCGCGAAAGAAAGTTTCTTTTGTTGGTAAAACCCCCTTTTAAATCTTTCTTCTGTGTGGTACGCCTCGAGGATTGAAGAATTGAGGTCTCTGGGTTATTTTATCGATCTGCTGTCCCCTGGAGTTTTAAAAACTTGATTCTGAATACTCAGGAGTCATAGAGATGGTTCGGATTATTGCATGTTTCACTGGAAAAGGGTTTCACAGTACGCTCGTGTCGGCAGAGGATAAACATTTCTCCGTAAGCTCAAACCGAAGGTATAGAGCTAAAATAGAACCATTTTCTATCCCGAAGGCCAAGAAAATGGATATTTTAAGTCTTGCCGAGGCTTGACCTTAGTAAGGCTTTGCCGCCAGCTGGGGAGAAGGAACTGAGAGAAAGCGTGTCGCTAGGTCTAGCAATATGGGTTTAGCGCCGCTTCTAGCCGGTTAAAGGAACTATAGAAGAGGAGTAGGAACTTTCCCGTTTGAAAGTAGCTAGATGGAAAGAATTGATAGTAATCATTCGAATCTCCATAAGGTCAAACCTCGGCAAGACCTAAAATATCCGTTTTCTTGCCCTTCTGGGTGAAAAACGGCTCTATATTAAGTTTTAGTTGTAAGATACTAGACCTACGAACGGGTACTTGTCAACCTTTTTGGAGATTACGGTATATTTTTTGTAATTTCTGGTTTAAATAAAAAAAATACTCGATATTTTTAATAGTAATAATTCGTTGCGTTTTTCAAGAGGCCTAAAGAAGTTTTATTCACAAACTGCTAGTGAAGTGAAATTCAAGTCGCTATTTCTGTGGATCATAAGAGGTGTTTTATTATTTATTTTTCCAATCCTATTCCTTGTTAATATTTCTTATTTGTATTTTTTAACGAGCACTGATTTCAATTTTTTGTTTATTCAGATAGGGAAGCTAGTGAGGCCATACTTTTGTGTACAAAGGTCATTGTGTCCCATAAATTTTGATAATTAAACAAGTATTGTATAATTATTTTTTAATCGAAAAATTTCAGCTGTGAATAATGCAGATCGAGTTCTTTTAGCATATTAAGTGACATTTTTAACACTTGATACTTTTTTAAATTTAAAATTCGTATTTCTATAATAAAACAACTGGTGTGCTGGAGTAAACAATTATAATAATGATTCTTATTTGTACAGTTCATATGAAGTATTGGTATATAAATGTAAATTCATTAAAGAGTAGTTTTAGTAAACATTTGCTTCATTTTTGAAAGTACCTTTTGAGTTTTCCTGATTCAAATAATGCTTTCACATCGCTTCCTCCTCCTAGGCATTCGCCATTGACAAAAACACGAGGAACCTGTTATATAATATATGTATATATTGTTAAATATTTGTAACATTGTTTTTTTTAACTTACTGTTCTAGCGCCTGTCAATTCAAGTAAAATATCTTGAATTTCATCACCATCTGGACGCTGATCCAATTCTACTGCTGTGTAGTTTTCAGCAATTTTATCGAAAACCTAAAGTTACAGAATATTTAATAAGAGTTTTGATACTCACAAAAAAATAAATATAAGTTTAAAATTACTTACTTCTTTTGCCATTTTGCAGTATGGACAGTATGTTTTTGAAAAAATTACTACATTGTTGCTTTGAATTAAGCTTTTAATTTCTGTTGCTTTTGTAGATGGCATGGTGGGATGACGTGAGCTGTTAATTCCCATTGTAATTTAAAAAGTTACAAAGATTTTAATAATGAATTGAATTAATCATAAAAATNTCAGAGTACAAAGGATGGCCACATTTTAAAGAAATTTTTATGGTTTCTGCATTAACAGGTAAATTACAGAGCTACTTTATTTCCAGCTAATATTAACAGCTTGTATTTTAAAGGGGATGGTTTGGAAGATGTTAAAAATTATTTATTATGTCAAGCTAAACCTGGAAATTGGCTTTACTCAGAAGAAGTATGGACAGATCAACTACCTGAACAGATCATACAAAACACTGTAAAAGCTACATTTTTAGACTTTCTGCCTCAAGAAATACCATACCGTTTAAAGCCACAAATTGAACTCTTGGACTTTAATAAAGAAGGTAATATATAATTACTTTTAGATCAATTTATTCCATTATTTATTTTTTTCTTTAGGTGTAATTACAACAGACAAGCTACGGACATGCAATGGATAAGCTTTCGATAAGTTTGATAAGAATCATATGCGCATATAAGTTTATCTATGTATGGAATGAGTCATGGGGTGTCGACTCTCCTGTCAAAAGTAGTGTACACTAAACCTGGCAGATGATGGTGTTTGCAGCGTTTAAATATTTTGCACTGGAATGATTAGGGTTGTCTTCCTTTAAAAGAAGTTCTTATAAAAATTAGTAATGATAATAATATAGATTTGTAATGCCGTTAGCTATGGTATGAGCGGTATGAGAGACAATAATATGTGGTGATAGACTAGAGATAGTAAGAGTCATAGATATAGATCATGACATAGATAAATAATAAGTGGTATACAGTCGTGTGAATCTGGCACCCAATATAAATAATCCACTGATTCAAACTTTACCAATAAATTGTGCGTCGTTTATGGGTACTAAATATGTAACTATCATAATCGTTGTCCATTAGTTTTGTTAAAAATTGGAAAATTGTTTCGAGTGCAGGCGGAAATTAAATGCCAATTTATTCAAAAACTGTTGGAGATATGATAATTTAATTGACGCGAATTGATTGTGCGTTAGTTGTGCTTGAGGATTGAACTATTATTGTAAGCGGAGTTTATTTTTATATTATTCATTATTAATTATTGTTAATAATACTATATTTTCCAATGGCATTAGTATGATCATATCTATAATTCACCAAAGACGCACGCGTATTAGTAATATCAATGAAAAATTAAGCATTATATGTAATTATCACTAATAAATAATATAAAGATAAATTTCGCTTACCATATTAAATCAGCCTTCAAGCGCAAATGATACGCAATCAAATGGCGTCAATTAAATAATTATATCTTTAGTAGTTTTTGAATAAATTGGTATTTAATTTCCACCTGCACCTGAAACAATTTTCCTTTTTTTTTAGAGAAGTAATGGACACACAATTATGATATTTATATATGTATAACCCACAAACGAAGCACAATTTATTGTTAAAGTTTGAATAAGTGGATTATTTATATCTGGTGCTAGCTTCACACGACTGTCATTTTGACCGCAGCCATTCCACNTAAATAATAATTATATAAATTAGGTCTATGTCATAGATTATTATGCTATTATCTATGATTATTAGTTAAATAACTTAGATAATAGATATACATAGAAAGAATGGTTAAAGACATGTTCATAGATGTCATTTTAAAGAGGTAAAGGATGAACAATGAAGGTCCTTATAAACCAATTTTTAACTGTAGCTATTAGAAGAAATTTAGTCAGAAATCTTAGGCAGTTATGTGTAAATGAAAACGAATCACATTTAGATGACCCCCTTCTTCAGAAACCGGCCCAAAAAATTTTAAAAGTAGCTATTATAGGCATGCCAAATGCAGGAAAAAGTTCCATTATCAACAATTTAATGGACCGAAAGGTAAGGTAAATTTTTCTTAGTAAAGTCTAAAGAAAAGATACAAATCTTACATTTAAGTTCGAGCTTGTTTCCGCAGAAGCATTGTTATTAGCATAATAAAACAAATAAATAATTTTTGTATTTTTAAAAGGTATGTGCAGCCTCCTCAAAAGTTCACACAACTCGAGTTAAAGCAACAGCAGTTTTTACTCAAGGAGATTCGCAAATTGTGTTTTTAGACACTCCAGGTCTGGTTAATAGTAAAGAACAAAAGAAGTTAGTAGTTGTATTTATTACAACAAAACTGTATTAGCTATACTAATTTCTAAATCAATGTATTAAAATTGATCTACTTGTAGGCACAATCTTGAAAGTTCATTTGTAAAAGATATTAATTATTCTTTAAAACAGGCTGATACAATAGCTGTTATTCATGATGTCAGTAACTCATATCTTAGAGAAAGACTAGATATAAAGATACTAAATTTTCTAGAAAACTATAATCAAATTCCTAGTTTTTTAATTTTAAATAAGGTAAGTAAATACTCTAGTGTCACAATAGTTTTGATTCGAACCCTTTTCATGTTTTGAAAATTGTCAATTAATATTTCAGATAGATATTTTAAAATCAAAAAGAAAGTTATTAGAAATTACAAGACTTCTCACAGAAAATAGTATTAATGGAAAGGCAATGCCTAATTCTATTAGAAAAATTGAAGACTCAGAGTACAAAGGATGGCCACATTTTAAAGAAATTTTTATGGTTTCTGCATTAACAGGTAAATTACAGAGCTACTTTATTTCCAGCTAATATTAACAGCTTGTATTTTAAAGGGGATGGTTTGGAAGATGTTAAAAATTATTTATTATGTCAAGCTAAACCTGGAAATTGGCTTTACTCAGAAGAAGTATGGACAGATCAACTACCTGAACAGATCATACAAAACACTGTAAAAGCTACATTTTTAGACTTTCTGCCTCAAGAAATACCATACCGTTTAAAGCCACAAATTGAACTCTTGGACTTTAATAAAGAAGGTAATATATAATTACTTTTAGATCAATTTATTCCATTATTTATTTTTTTCTTTAGGTGTAATTACAACAGTAGTACTTGTAAAATGTCCTAGCAAGCGAATTGCTACATTAGTTGCAGGGGCTTCAGACGGACGGCTTCGGCAAATAACTGAAGCTGTTCAAAAAAATTTACAAGATGCATTTCAAACTTACGTGCGTCTTAAAATTCTATTGGAGTCTAAAGATGAATAATGTATGTATTTTTAATATATTAAGAAAATAAATAATTTATTAATTTATCAGTAATAGGAACCAAACACAAAAAACCTCTTGCAGTGTTTCAGCTTATTAGGGCATACCAAAGAGTGAAGTTAAACTTACTGCAATTGCTATATTTCTAAATCAAACGAAGTTTCTAAAATAAATTACTTTCTATAGTGAAAGCTATTGATGCGGGAATCCCCCGTGTATTAGGTTGCTTTTTAATGATTTATAAAACAATTTGAAAGTTATTTTATTTTAAAAATATACAGCCGCTTTAAATAGTCTTCATTTTGTTACATAAAAAAGTTGTAGTCATACATGGTGTTAGAGCTACTTTATTTATGCGAACAATTCATGGATGGTATTAAAAAACTTCCCTAATTCAATTAAAAATAATACTTACACATTCACTCTTCTTTTAATAACTAAATANTTTGTTAGCCATTTCTGGGTTAATGTGCTAAAATTTATTATATATGGAAAACCTAAATGAGTTTTACTCATATCTATTATTTGGTCCCCCTATAATAAAACAGTAGTATATTTAAACAAAGACCATAACTGTAGAAAATAACATACTCTTGCCCATGCTTCTTCAATAAGGCACTAAAATTTTGAAGAACTTAAAACAAGATAAAAATATAATAAAGAAATACATAATTAACAAAAAAGGATTGCTTTCATATCAAGTATAATCTATGCATACAAATATTTTTTTAAACTTGATTGTGGAATTACATAATTATCGTTTTTTTTGCATAACTAACAAGTGCTTTCTAACAGACGTGATCATTTTTATTATCAAAAATAGTAAATTTTACTTTTTCCAAAATAAACTTAAAAGAAATAAATACCTTTATAATAAAAATATAATTACATTTTATAAAATAGCTGCCAGGATTAGAACAAATCATGAGCTAAATAATATGAGTTTAAATAATTAAAATAGGACAATAAATTAAATGAAAATGTTTTACCTTTGTTCTTAACAAGAGAAACTACATATCGGTCTTTTAAGCAATGCAGTTCTAAAAGCTGTTACAAGAAAATCAAATCTAGTTGTGAAACTAATTGTAAACTAAATGAAACACAATTCCACAAACAGGTATTTAAAAAACCTAAAATGCTTTTTGTTACCCATGTTCTAGGGGTTTTAAATGTATTTGTGAAATTTTGGGAGTTTTTCACTCACACTTTTTCGTATATAAACTATTTTTGAATTCTTTTAACGTTTTAAAAGATAAATTTTATGTAAAACGATAAAAATAAGTGAAAACAATACGTTAATATAAGCATTTTCTACTATCGAGTACTAAATATAATCTTGAGTTCAATTCTCTAGTCTCCAAAAAAGTATTTGCATTTTATTTTCTATTATTTCTGCCATTTGTAGTCAGGTAGTTGAAAATATTGTCTTTTTTACCTCCCATTTCCGTCATCTGTTACACCTAAAGCTTCAAGTTCCCTAAACAATCTATTCAAGTAACCGGGATCGGGATAACCATGACCGCTGCTACTAGGACCGATTTCCGTCTTATGGGGCAAATTCCATGAAACTACATCTTCACAACCGGTGGTGTGAGAACGACTGACCGTAAAAATGAGTTTTCTTTGCCACGCGACATTTAGAAGCCTAAGAGCTTTACGACCATTGGGGCTATCTGGTAAATAAGCAACTCGGGGAAACCCCACGGCATAATATTCGTGTCCAGGGTTGGGATGATTCGCACCTTGAATACCTGATTGAATGCTAACAAAAAACAAATTATTTACATTTAAATGGGCATTGAAAATTTCTAACAGTAGAATTTTTTAATGTTAATTACTGAACAGCACTAAGATGTAAGGTAACATTAAAGCCAGTAATCAAAGAATGACATTAATTAAAATGTAACTCAAAATGAAGTTTTACTAAAAGATTTAAATTTCTAGGAAAACATGAAATTGATTTCTGATTTAATTCAGTCACTTAAAACTATTAATTCAAATGATAAGTTACATACTTGTATACGATCTGTATTGTCCGACAATTTCCATATCCTGGGAGACTACGTTCTATAAATCCCCACTCCATAGTGCCGGGAGGTTGATTACCATGTTTTTCTCCATACACACAACCGCATACGGCACACTGCACATGCAGGGTAACACCTAACGATTGTTGTTCTTTCAAAATGAGATTGAGACAGTCTAAGTGTAGTACGTGATCGCACGGTAGCGCAACGACGACGCGGCAAGGTTTTAATTGTTGCCTGCAAGTGGGGCAAGGCTGTCGGGGGGCCCACTCCACCGGTTGAGAAACGCGAACGTGTCGGGATATCATAGCACTTGCTGAATCAACCCCTAAGAGAAGAAAAAAAGAAATAAAGAGCGTGTTTCTCATGCACACAATACGGTTTGGAAGCTGTTTACTAAATTATTACTTTATAATTAATGAGATGCTCGAAATAAGTTTGATGGTATTCGTCAAAACCATCCACTTACAAGTTATTAAAAATCTTATATATTGCTATTTCGTAAATAGGACGTAAGACTGTTAAGAAAACTTGTAATAATTATTTTTCAAAACCTTTTCAGCGATATCTTACTCAAGGAGATACGTGAAATTTCACCATTACATGTACAGATACTATCCAGAAAAATGATTTTCCTAAATTTTATTAAACCAATAATCACTTTATTTTTGTTTGAGACTTCTCATTTTTATGCATCCACATCTTTTATCTTTTAATAACCATTAGTATATTTAATAAAATCAAAAACATGCCTATTTACACATTAAAACTAATATATTTCATGTTTCAAAACTATTAAATGCTTAAAGTTTTAGAATATGTTCACATTATATTAAATAAAATTTAAAGAAAATTTGTTAACTGTAGAAACAAGGAGACTTTTTACAGTTAATTTTAATATCACTTCATATGCAAATTGAAGTTAGTTGTAAATATAATATGTAATAAACATTTGAAATTAAGAAGTTATATTTTCTTACCAATAATAGATGGTAATTTTTGCACTTCAATGTGTCCATCATCACTACTTGCTCCACTACAATTTAATAAGTCTGCAGTAGATGCTGTTCTTTGACTTTCATGGCTTTCCTGACTAAGATATGTTGATACAGTGTCTAAACTTGGTCTTCTACCAGATTTTGTGCTACTACTGTCAGCATCCAAAACAGAATTAGTTGATTTACTGTGTTCTTGTAATGGAAGATTGTTATTTGTGGATTTATGCCCTAAAAAGTCTTATAAAAGTAAAATACATTCTTAATGCAATTAATTAAAAAAAAAAACTAAACTTACCAAATATATTTAAATTATGCAGGATAGTTTTGGCTAAGTTTGTAGTGGACATTTCATTATTATTCTTGGATTTTTGAGATTTCTTTTTCCCTCCGTTTGTGCTTTTCTTATTTTGTACATTTTCTGTTTTAACATTTGTATGTTCTATTCTACATGATTTTCTTATGTCTGTACTTCTTCTTCCTAATGATATTAAGAAAAAAAAATAGATGCTTAAATAACTTAGAAATAAATTTGAATATTACCCATGACAGCAGTCATTTCCTCTATTTTTACTTTAATTAGTGGATAGGGTGCTTGTTTTGTTCTTTTTACTTTGCGAATATGGCCATTTGTTAGCCATTTCTGGGTTAATGTGCTAAAATTTATTATATATGGAAAACCTAAATGAGTTTTACTCATATCTATTATTTGGTCCCCCTATAATAAAACAGTAGTATATTTAAACAAAGACCATAACTGTAGAAAATAACATACTCTTGCCCATGCTTCTTCAATAAGGCACTGAATGTCCATATCAAAAACTTGCCATTCTAGTCCATGCTCAACAGCAACTTCCCATTTCGCTCCTTTACCAGCAGGAGACGATTGAGGATAAAATTTCCTTCTTACTCTACAAACATCATCTGAAAAAGAACGTACATTTGTATAAATTGTTTCAGGAATATAAATTAACCATTTATTTACCTGAGTCTTCTAATTCCTGTGTCAACGTTCTTAGATTCACATAAAAATTTTGTAGGGTAGGGTCAGCATCAGAAAGTATTACACGAGTGAGCTGCTTAGCATTAGCTCTTTCTAAATGCTGAGTCACAGCAGGGCTATACGGTTTCCAATATCCATTTCTTGTTTCCCATTCCCAAACTACCACAGCATGACCCGACATCCTATTAAGTAACTAAACTTAATTACTGTCACCTGTTAATGTTTCTGAATATTATCTTCATTATTTTGGACATAAAAGCATTGAATTAAAAGCTAAAGTGTTTTATTGTACACTTAATACTTAGTATATTTTCGACACATCTATAAAACGAACTGTTTCATACAAAATTCTTTAAAACCAAAAAACCACTTAATTTAATTTTATCAACAAACATGGCTTAATACCATAGATTGCTTACCACTATGACCATAGATAATAGGTATCATAGGGTAACTATGACTGACTATGACTATAATACATATCATAATATTGTAGTGGGTCGTGTTTATATCTATGACCATATAATATCCAGTATGAAGTTGGTTGTCGCAGGCATCGACGTTTATTAATGGACATGCCTTAGTGGTCAGAATTGTGGTACAATAAAAGAAAGAGATGGAACGAAGTTTCGGACAATATCCATCTCTCTCACGATAGTGCGTAAGCGTGTCATGAAAGAGATAGTACTAGTCCGAAACCATACGCCATCTCCCTCACTTTTCGAACCAAGAAATTATTACAACGACATACGGCTAAGGCACGTCCATTAATATATGTCTATGGGTTCTATAGTGCAATATCTGCAACCCATTACAGGTCACTTAACCCTTTTTTATATTGTGGGTTGCCTACCCGTGACAGTATAAATAAACGTACGGATTGTAGGCAAATAAACAAGATGAAAGATTAAGTAAAATTTTCGATACTCCCTTACTCTTGAACAGAATTACATCGAAGGCACTTTTAGTTCTTAGAAAAGGCAGCTTTAATCTATTTACGTAAAATATTTATTATGCGAGAAACTAACAGAATTAACACATCTTAGAAATACAATGTACACATATACAACATATAGGATGCCCCACGATCATTTTGGGATAAAAGTATGCATATATAAATAACAAAATGAACATTTTAGTATACATTAAATAAAAGTGATTCATAAAAGGAAATTCAGGTTCCATTTAAAATAAGCAAAAGTTTGTGCTCATTTCCGGAAGTAGTGGGGCATCTTGTATAATATTGTACTGCTTATTTATTTGAGTATTTTGGGAAATCGAAGGTCAGTTTTTATCAAATTCTTTTCTATCCAAAGATTGACCCTTTCCTCCAATTCTGGAGTGTAGTACGTTGAATTTTTACTATTTTTACCGTTTCGAATAAAACCCTGCTCCTTTGAATTAAGAACTCCAATTTCTCTCAACACTTCAAAATTGACCGAATCATTTTTTCGAAAATTTTCTATTTTCAAATGGTCATCCAGCTTGTTCAGTTGTTTTTCTGAAACATCTATTCCTAAAAACTCGGCCACTTTTAAGATCGTATCTTGCTGATTCTGAAAAAAAAAACAAAATAAAATACGAATTTACTTTCGGTTATATCAGGTGACAGAAGTATATTTCTCTAGTGAGAGAGACTCAGAAAGATGGAAATGCGAAATATAAAGCATCAGTGTCTGTTTGACTATAAGAGCACAAAAAAAAATCTGCATAGAACATTTAACTAATGATATTATCTTCTTGTATTCATTGCTTACTGCTGCTGGGTACTTTGAATCCACAAGGTTATTTCTCCTCGTAGATCCATATTTATTAAGTACTTAAGTATGATCAAGAAGACCGGAAATTTTGGCGACGCTCTAGAACACATTAAATAGCTTTTTCCTCGCCGCCAAAACACGACGTCAAACGTCTTTATTTTTCAACAAAGGTATCTTTTTTAGGGACTAAAGAGAACCGTGTAGTTTCTTTTAGTACCTTCTCGTTTCGTACCCTAATTTAATATTTTTTTTGAGCAATTTTATTCTCGTTTCGTTCAGACTCGGACACAGTGCAACGGAAACTTCTGCAAAACTTCAGCAGACACAGTGTTTTTTGATGAGCCCGGGTTTTTCGGTGGTTTAAGGCATTTTCGGAAGGAAGAGAGTTCACGAAAGATGAACAACGCAGTGAATGACTTTCAATTTCAGGAACCGACGAAAATGTCGACAAAATCCGGGATCTTGTTCGTTCAGATCATCGGTCAACTTTCAGAATGATCGGAGAGCAGTTGAATTTGAGTCACACAACCATTTCAAAAATATTTCCAAAAAGTCTTTCGCAGGAGCAAAAAGATGTCAGGAAAGAAAAGTGCCTTGACTTTTTGGAAACGATTGAAAATGATCCGCATTTTACGAAACATGTAATTACGAGTGAGGAGAGTTGGGTATTTGAGTATAATCCTGGAACTCGGCGCCAGAGTATGGAATGGGCGCCAGAGCATGGAATGGCACACTCGCACACTCCAAGCTCTCCAAAGCTCAAAAAGCAAAAATGAGTAAGTCATAAACCAAACTCATGCTGATTTGTTTCTTTGATAACCAGGGGGTCATCCATAAAGATTTTGTGCCTCAAGACCAAACAGTCAATCTACACTTTAATGGAGAGGTTTTTGAAAGCTTTCGCAAAAGGGCCATGCGTGTGAGACTAAACATTGAGAACAACTGGATGTTTCATCACGACAATGCGCCTTTTTGGCCAGTAAATACATTCCTCTTACTCCTCAACCTCCTTATTCGCTGAACTTGAACTCTTGTGATTTTCTTTTCTTCCCGAGATTGAAAACTCACTTCAAAGGAAGTCATTTTGGGGCACTCGAAAACATTCAAATAGCTGTGACCAACCAGCTGACGACTATTCTAGTATCCGAGTTTTAGCACTGCTATGAAGAATGGAAGAACTGCTTCCAGCGATGTGTGGATTTCAAAGGAAGTTATTTTGAGGGAGATAATGTTGAATAACAAATTTTTAAAAAATCAGTCTCGTTACTTAATTAAAAGAGTTTAAACAGCTTGTGAAACTTGAGTGTTTCTTCTGAAATTGATGTGGTGGAACAACCGCGCTGCCATTGCGGGAAAAGATACTGTAGCGACCACGAGCGTGATTGTGTGCGATCGGGCATACGTGTGTGTGAGCGGCTTATCGATTCGCCGACTAGACGCGGGCGCTTTTCTTCAGGTGCGCCGTATCTGTAAACGTGTGTGTCGTACCTGCGTTCTGCGTTCCGGGAAAGCAATTAAACCGTTCAAAGAAAACGAGACTTCTCTGGACGGCTGGAGAACGTTCCCGAAAGGAGGCAAGGGAGTATAAAAAGGAAGAGACGATCGCCGAAGGGGAGTAGAAATAAATTGACCGTTGCAGAAGTGAATCAAGAAATAAATAGACAGTGATAGAAGTGAAATAAATAGAACAGTGAATAGTAACAGTAGTGTAAATAAATAGAATAATTACCTAAGTTAGTAATAATTAAATAGTGTTTTTCAGTTCAATAATAATTACTGTAAATAAATAGTTTTCTTCTTAAAATTTAATTTGTTAAACCCACGAACATTACAATACGATGTTTGCCGTGTATAATGATCTATGCGTGAATGCGTACAAAATTATATAATACTGCTTATAAATAAGTGTACGTATATATGTATGTAATACATTTTTACATGTAAAAATGGGTGTAAGTATGTAAATTTATTGAATAATATAATGAGTTACAAAATATTTTGATAATTAAGATTTTTTCTTGATAAATATTAATACATACTAGGTATTAATTAACATTGTAATTGTTTAATTCAATTTAATTTAATCTACGTTTTTTTGAAGGTCTTTTAACGGTATATTTATTTCTATATCATTATTTACACCGCTTTGGATATTTTTTACTACAATGATTTTAATATCGGATCGCATCAGTGTGAAAGCGTTCGCTCTAAACACATTTACTTTGGATATAACAGGTCAATTGAAAAGTCCCCGGCCTAAAATAGTAAAACACATTTTTTTTGCAAAATTCGTTTTTTTTATTCAACATAATTCCCTCATTCGACGAAAATTTTTTCCCAACGAGCATTCTTTTGAGATCTGAGAACAGGAAGTAGTCGCTGGGGGCCAGATCTGGAGAATACGGTGGATGCGGAAGCAATTCGAAGCCCAATTCATGAATTTTTGCCATCGTTTTCACTGACTTGTGAGACGGTGCATTGTCTTGGTGAAGCAGGACTTTCTTTTTCTGCAAATGCGGTCGTTTCTCGGCGAT